TATAATTTCATTTTTATATCACTTGTAATATAATTCGATGTTGGATTTTTTGTTGTAAATTGATAACAGTCGCATATTTTTATGAAAATACAATGATTTATTTTCCAACAACTATTGAACAGATTTCAATCAATTTCTTTGATATAAATTCAACGTTAATTATGATAATAAACGAACGAGGATATATCACTTGTCAGTCAGCRTKTATTGATTTAATGAGAATGTTACACTGATGTTGTTTTATAAATTTATTACTTTTTATTAATTATTATTACTTGTCGGTTATTTAATATGGTATATTAAAAATAATTTGTATTTATACTGCATTTATAATGTGCGTAAATTAAAGTAACTCACCAATCTTTGTAATTTKTATATATTAATTTATTGTTAAACAGTTGATATTTTATATTATAGTTAAATTACATGGTAATAGTATAAATAAATAGGCACATTCTGTGGTGTCTAAGTCATCATAAATCATAATCTCACTGAATGCCAAATATACCACAACAACAGAACAAGTTCCAACCTATCCSAATCATTAGCTTAAACACACTATAATTATGTCAAGTCAATACYCAACATAATTGAATTCATTAAAGYCACCAAAATTTWAACTAAGATTTAAGAAATACTTAGAATAACTAAAATAAGAGACAATACATGTAATCACACCATTCGTAAAATATTAATAGCTCAAGTTGTCGAATGTCTTAATAATAATAATAAAAAATAAATAATAACAATATAAATGATTATAGGTAGTAATATAAACCATACAGTTAATTCATGACAAACTTCGAACATAAATGTATTGCTCAATATGCTTTAAAATTGAGTAAAAAAAAAAAAACAGTACCATGCTTGTAGTGTCACATCAAGTTTTTAGTTATAATAAAACTCTTAAGATAATCAACAATTATGTAGGTACCATTTTGACCTTGTTTGATCATATAAATCGTCCGAGTTAGTATATGTACAGGAAATTGATATTGTTACTGATAAGTGACTCAAAATCTAATAACTGTGAAAATATGAATGAAAATGTAAAAACAAATAGTGGTTTTAGTTTAATAATAAACAAAACTATCTAACAGAATTTCAATCTAATGTAATGCGTTRATATTATATTAAATCATACAAMAAATTCTGAATGTTTATTAGTGGCTGTATAATATGACTGGAATGTTTCAAAATATCATTATTTAGTCAAGTGGTAATCGGTAACCCAAATGTAAGTACATTGAAAATAAYAAAAATTATTTTTCTATTTAACAGTTAGAATTTAAGATAATTGATGGTAAGGTATCAAAAAATAAATAAAATAATACATTAATTAAACTTTTTTTTTTTGAGCAGTATAAATCGATTTTGAATAATATACTATGTATTCCACAATTTAATATATTATRTACAAATAAAATTGTACGTATAAATAATATAAATTATAAACAACATCATATATTATTAAATGTGTATGATACGATAGTTGCAGAGGTATAATATTTTTTTATGCAATAGTTTTATAAGTTTTATAAACAAAGCTGAATTTTGTCAAATTGAAAATATTGGAAAATCATTTGATGACATTTTTGTGATAATGTCCCGAGTTCTTTTTAAACTAAAAACTGAGATTTTTTCTGATTGATGAAATTTGAAATTGTGATTGATAAATATATAATAGTAATACTAGAAGAAAATTGACTTATAATTACATAAAAGGTATTTCTAGAATAMTGTACAATACAATAATAATTGTTAGAATAAGCAGCACTCTATCCCTATTAATTATAATCAGTGAATAAGCTGCACCCTATATGACACTCAATACGAGTACAGATTCATAATTTCTTCTTAAGAAATGTATCCAAGTGGAAATTAATATATTAATATYATCGGATTCGTAACAATTAAGCTATAAGCTATAGAGAAAACAGTACATACTTCACTTCAGTTATAGATTAATTTAAATTTAATTTGTATTAATGAAAATTGAAATAACAATTATTCACACCAAAATAGTTGATTTTAAAATAAACATGCTTAAAAATGTGATAATACCTATATATATAAATTAAAATTCACTAATAATTTTTTTTTTTTTTTTACATAGGGCATTGGTTGTGGAATGGTACCGTAGGGGTTATTTTTGTTTGTAGGTTTTTAAGTGGGTAGGGTTATAACACGTGTTTGTGTATGTGTGGCAAGGATATATTGCAAAAAAATCCCGGGTGGTCACCCATCCGGGAGCTAGCAACTGCGGTCGGTACTTACGCTCAGTGCGTTTCCACAGATTGAGCGTACGACCGCGCCTCACCAAGCCACACTAATTAATTATAGGTTAAATAAATAGTGTTTGTAACTTGTTTTTTTTTTGTTCAAACTATTGTATAGCTTATCAATGTTATTTAATAGAACACTATTTTATGATAAAATCAAATAATCAAAATAACTCACTAAGTTTGGATAGCTTGAAAGCATCTGCAGTTTTGATGACGTCCACATATGCTTGTAGTTCAAATCGTCTTTCAGTGTTGTTTTGGTTATGTTTAAACACAGCTAATTTGAATGCGGTTTGCACTTCATCAGATCCTTGTTCAAAAATCGCTCCTGTAAAAAAAAAAAAACAATAACAATAATAATAATGTATTTAGTGAATTTTGTATTAATTGAGCCAAAGAAAATACATTTGYAATGCGCTATGATGGTCATCAGACGTATCGTGTCATAGGATTTATTCACGGCTTCGCCGTATAGAGAAAAGTTGTCCCTTTATCAGCCGATCCGATTCTGTATGTCTTTTGGGTCACTAGAAATTTGTCCTTAGTTTTACACTTCGAATAACTATATCTTTCTTTCTAATACAAAATCCTATTCTCTTTTAGTCCAGTGCACATTTTGTTTAGCTGATCCCACTAAGGCCCTTTCCCTTCCCACTTACCATCTTTGCCGAACTTCGTYCGAGGAACAGATTCACATTAAATCGTCTAGAAAAGTATTATTAGAATGGCCGTAAGTTTTTATTTTACCCACCAGCACCCACCACCCGTCATCCATGTATYGTGTACTAGATAAATATTTGAGCCATTCAGTTTGGGTCACTTCATTGGTTACTGTTCTTGTACATTTATATCACCGTGGTATATTGACCAATCATTATGTTTCGTGAAATAGACCCCGGAAAAATATGAAAAGTCTTTTGTGTTTTGAACGAAAACCAATCATCATATTTAACCGACCGTTGTTGCCAAGCGGCTTAGTTTTTCAAGAACATTAAATCCGATCATAATAGTATTATATTGAAGAAATATTCGTGTTTATATAAAACAGTTCTGAAAACTTATATCTCTACTCCAATAATTCAAATTGTGTTGCGTAATGAGAATCTTTTCAATTTTCAATTCTAAAATTATTACATTTGTACAATTAAATTATTTGATGATGAATTATAATAAGATATCAATTGGTAAAAAGCAATTTAAATAGTTTGCATTTACAAAATAACAGTGATAGGAGACTCTGTAAAATAATATGTATGTTATTTATTATTCTTATTGTATTTGGGTCATCAGTATAAATTTTCCATCAAATTCTAAGAAAATAACATATTTATTGTGGCTTGGTGTGGCCCAGTGTCTACTCTCAGTTGCGTACGCGCTCTGAGTGTACGTACCGGCTGGCGTTGCTAGCTCCCTGATGGGTGACCCGGGATCTTTAACAAAAAAATCATTGTCACACATACAATATGTGTTTCAAACCAACTTTTCTTCTCTACCACTACAGTTTCCACGCATACGACCAATAAGAAAAATAAATATATATATTTATTGATTGATTGTTAACTTGTAAATATCTTATGTGTATTATAATCTTAAGGGGCATTAAGAAATGTTATAAATATTTCAATAAAAAAATATTATTATTATTTTTATTTTTAAATATATTTAGATACAATTACTAGTTTCAATTTTCTTATGAAATATTAATGTAAGTTGTAAAGATTCTTATATGCATTGTTAAATATGAAGTAATAGGTTTATGGATAATACATTGGTAATACCTAAGTTTCTTATTGTTATTCGAGACTACAATAATCGGATTTATCTCGAAAATAACTTAGGTACTTTCTTTTTAATTATAAATTTAATTTATTCCAAGTAACCATTTAAACTAAATATAACGTATACACAAAAAAAATAATTAAAAAAAATTGTATGGTACGTATATATTGGTACTCGTGGAAAATGGCTTTGAAGAGTAAATATTTTACGTCGATTTGTTAGATAATTATTGGAATTTCGTATATAAATGTTATGGTCGTGATTAAACAAATTAACGCATTTTACAAATCCATTGCAATTGCTACGAGTCTTATTAAATAAAAAGCGACATTGTTTCAATCTAAAGAGAAGCCCAACAAATTTAAGTACATTTCGCTACGCCTTAAGTAATTTTGTACATTTTATGATTTTATTATACAACRTTTATTCGTTTATCCTATAAATCCAAGGAGAATAACAACTATTGATCATTCTTATAATATGGGTATAGTAAACCTGTAACARTTGGAGTGCTCAAAATACGAAAACAGCTTTTGTTCACTCCGTTTGTTTTATTTTGATAATTTTTCCCTTAAATCTAATGGCAGTTTTTGTTTTAGAATAATCAAAGTGGAATTTGACTAGTGGGCAAAAATATTGAAGTATTTTTCTCGTATAATGTACTAAGAGSCTCTACCCCTTGTTGTTTTCATTGAATAATCTCCATTCGACCCATACCAACCTCAATGTGGCTCTAAACCCTCGAGGGCCACCTCCTTTGCGTATTGGAATTTAATATCTGTACATTTCTAATGACAAAAAAGTAAAAAAAAAAAAATAAACTATGATAACATCTCTATACAAATTCTGTTGAAATATTATCAACTGTATAAATTATATTGCAGTAAGTACTGCAATGGTTGAATTTAAAATTTTGATTTTAATAATAAATACYATTTAATTTACTTTAGTTTGGTTCGGTTCTAACCTTGTATACTTAAAGAATCTAAAAATATTAGAAGTGTATTGATTTAAGTTACAAATAACTAATAAATAATAATATATTTATGCTCAAATAATGTAATATGTAAAACATGTACTTTTTATGGGTAGKGAGTAATTTGTTTTTCGTTGATTATAAAATTTTCAATCAACATACTTTTCGATATTCAAGTATTTTACATGTTATTAATGAAGATTATACATATTTTAGTCATTTGTTTTCATAAGTATTCTAGAATAAACTCATTATTTTATTATAAAATATCTTTTTGTACAAAAATCTCACACATTTTTAATACAAAAAACATCATAATCGACTTTAATAATAAATTAAGATTGCAGATAAATATAATTCTTTAATATCGTAATTTATTCATARCACTGTGTTATTTTTTTAAATTTAATTTGATCAATTAGTAAAAAATTAACGAAAAAGGTGGCCAGTATCTAATTAAAATATAAAAAGCGTTACGCTMCTACGTCTTTTATAAAATACGCATTATATGAAAGTTATGCTTGAAAACTGCAATTCGTTGCATATTTGCTTACATGGTATGCACTTCAAATACGTTTTGAACAACTGATGTAATGGCGTGCACAGTTTACATTCGTGCATTCCAAAGGAGATTTTACTGTCGTGTGAAAAATCGAAATATTCACGATAAAAAAGCTTCATCTTTACGGTGCGTTTAACRTAATGTAAAATGTATCCAGCATAAGACTGTTTGTTTAATAATACAATGCTCAAAATATTCTGAAGTGTATACATTATTTTGTGTRCAAAAAACCGCCTTCGTCGTTCGCTCGAATTTACGTGTTAGAGTATTTTCGTCTTAATCCACAGTTCACTTTCAGATCACGACTTTATGTATAAACTATTCTATAGTTAAAGTTATGAACAATAAATGTGATTAATATAAATTAATGTATACATTTAAAAATCATTACACATTACAACAATATTTATGAACAATGTGAAAAATAATCAAAAMTAATGAATAATCCTTGAGGATTATATTCTGTATTTCGATTTSATTGTATTATACTTGGTAGTCGGTAGATACTCGAGTTTATATGAAGTTGTACGATTTGTGGTTATATTTAATGAGAGTGAAAATAAAATGGTATTTTAAAAGTTGAAAATTTTATATTGTTCCAACTAAATATAAAAACTTAAGTCAGACTTGGTCAATTTCAACATCATTTTTTCTTCAGAAAGTATGGTTGTCCGTGAGTGTTTGTCTACAATTCAAGCACATACCTCAAACTGTAWAAACTTAAAGAATTTATATAACAGTTATTTATAACATTTTTTTTGTTTTGTTTATAATATACATAATTAAAATGTTGACAATTAAATAATATTTTTGACAGTAATAGTCTTATTTCTTACGATTATGACGTTGTGAAACATTTTAAAATGGTTTTATTCTTTAGCAGTCTTGCTCGTAAAATTGTTTGTACAGATTAAAGCACCCAAAATATTACCGCTGTACAAATATTTAGTGTTGATTTTAAATGTATATAAATATTAACATAATTCTGTGCACTAAACAAAAAACAAAAAAAACAAAAGAAAAATGACTTAAAGAATCTTGAATGCAAAATCTTACTCAAAAGCCATTCATATTTCTAACGCATTATTATGCACATGTTTCAGGTTCTGATTCATATTTTATCGTAGGACATACTGTTGTTGAACAATGTTTGTAGAAAGTCAAATTGTCTGGCCATATAAGATACAGTATTTTGATATATGTGTATTATGTTCGGTCATCTATCATTATGTTATGTAAAACAAATAGCTCTGGATAAAATCATCTCCCTCTGCTGTCGTYCCGACCTCTTCTCTTACAGCCTTTATATAGACTTTTTTCAGTCAGAAAAAAATAAAACATATAATATTTATATAAATAACTATTACGAGTTACCGTTCCGGCGATAAACAAAAAAGCATTTGTCAGTACAAAATAAAAGGTAGTCTTGATAAATTGTTGTCGGGCCGCCACCGAGAGATTGGCTTTCGGTCGGGTGGTGAGGGGATGATGGATTGGGGTAGGGGTTGAAACATGTAATGTATAAATATATATTATATATAGAGAGTRTGAGAGGGAATGAGAGGTAGTGAGGAGGATAAATAGGGATGATTGTAGTGTGTATCGAACTATCGAACTCTGTATAGTCGTCCGTCGTCAGGAAAAAGGAACGCTAAATTTGTTGCCAAAGACCGTGTCCGGTGATCGGGTTCGTGCCTAACGGAAAAGGTTGGACGCAACGATTGGTAAGCGGAGGTAAACGTTCACGTGCAAAGAGTGACGTAGTCGCATATAATAGATATATAGTGATAGCGTATGTATTTACACACACACGACACACACACACACATTATATACACTATTTTCTGTGTATTCGTAATAATAGTAATAATAGTAATAATAGTAATAATAGTAATAGTAGTTGTGTAGTTGTGTTATATAAACTGTATTGCAGAGGAGTGTATATAAACTGCCCGCACAAAAGCTCCAAGTCCCTATCATCTATCTAACGTGTTTGGTACGCGTCCA